GACCTCATCATGCATGCCAGTGAACTCGCACCGCTGCAGCGAAGTGCTGCTCTCGAGTCCCTCGAGCCAGTTAAGCGCGCGGATCGCACGGTTCACGACCGCGAAGATACGCCGCTGCCCACGAGGTCCACGTCCCTCACGGCGACGTCGGCTGAAGACGCCCTCCGCCACCACGGGGGCCGGGAAGAGCAGGCGCGAGCCCCGCCCGGCGGTAGGGCAGCCGGCGCGGGCCGAAACGTCTCGGCGGGAGGGGGCCCATTCCCCCCGCCGCGCTCACGGGCGGTCATTGGGCCCCGGGGGGGGCGCCACTGCCACGGCCGCGGCCCGCAGCGCCACCGCCGCGGCCTCGGCCGCCCCTCCCCCGGGATCCCTCTGCTGCGCTCCCCTCCTCGACGGGGCTCGGTTGGAGCGTGCGAGCCCGCTGAGCGCCTGCAGCGATGTCCGCGTCCTCCTCCGCCCTCCCGGCCACGTGCTGGCGCATCTCAGGTGAGAAGGCGTCGACCGCTGCCGTAGCTCGCGTGGGCTGCCAGCTCGGCGCCTGGTCCGTCACCTGGCAAGCGCCGATGATCGTCTGAGTCCGACGGACGGCCACCTCCATCCTCTCCAACGCCGGCGGGTCGATCTGGTCGTAGGTGGCCCCATCGGAAGGGGATGTCCATGAGACACCGCATCTCGTGCGTCGCTCGATCGGAGCCCTCGATGCGCCTCTCTCCAGCCCAGATGGCGAGCCACAAGCGCGGGTTGCCGCCGTGCCGCTCCATGCGGCGCATCGCCGTGAGCACGGTCGCGAACCCCTGCAGCGGGAAGTGGGGGTCGACCACGCCGTGAGACTCCTGGCGGCACCTGCGGAAGCCCTTGTGTCTGTCACTTTGACCGTCGTAGTCCAGCCAGAGCGCCCGAGCATAGCCGCCGCCGACGGAGGAGGCTGGCGCCCCAGGCTCAGCAGCGCCATCCTCCAGGATGGTCATCGCGCGGTCCGCCTCCCGCTGGTCCTGGACAGCCACCAGCAGCTCTGCGCGCGCCGTTCCACACCCGTCGTCCACGAACCGCGGGACAAGGTCCGACCGAATGCAGGTTATCCGATGATAGCCGTCGCGGTCCACCAACGCATCGTACTTGTCCTCTCGCACGTCCTTCGCCTCGAGCGCCGCGATGGAGTCTACCGCCCCAACCTCGGATGGCTCGGTCAGCACCCCCACCTGCCCACCGACGGGCGGTCCAGGCCCGCGCGGAGGGAGCACCGCGGGAGCCTCGTCGCTCATGGCAGCCGAGCCCGAGGCCGCGGGGCGGCGAGTGAGGCGGCGTGGAAGAACGCTCCCGCCAATGAACTCGCCCAGCCCCTCGACCTCGCCGAAGCGCTCCATCTCCCGCTCGGACCGCTGCAGCTCCAGACCAGCCGCCCGCGTGATCTCCTCGGCTTCCGCGGCACCCTCATGGATCACGGCCTTCAGCTCGCCCTCGGTCAGGGGCTGCGGGAATCGATACGCCTGAGCACCCAGCCGAGGGGGCCTCCCGTCCACCAGCGGGGGATTCGCCCGCTCGAGGCCATGGGGGTCCGACCCGTCCAGGCACTCCGGGTAGACGACCTTGTCGGGAGTCTGGAGCAGCCAGTGAGGCCCACTATCGGCCAGGCTGCCCGCCTCTCGTGCCAGAAGACGTCCTCGGCACACAGCGCCGGCGGGCGAGACCCCGGCATCAGGATATTCCAGAACTCCGAGTCCGCGGCGGCGAGCGGCGCGATCGCCACTGCGTCGGAAGCGACCGCAGCAGGAGCGGGCCCGCTGACCACACTCCCAGAGACCGCGCCCCACGAGCTGTCCTGCCCCCCCCGCGCCGAAAGCCTGCAGCGCCGAACGCCAGGGCGAGCCGCCAGGCGCCCTTTCCGCCTCGGGCCGCGGGCGCGGCAGCTCGATCGCCGCGGGGCACACGCACTCGCAGGCGGGGCACGCGGGCCCCTCAGGCGACGCGGGGCGCAGGAGCCAGTGAATCAGCGCATCGTGGCCCGCCAACATCAGCAGCTTCTGGAGAGGCCCTCCGGCCATAAGACCCAGGCCGAAGGTCGCAGGCTCAACCCTGTGAGCCAAAAAGACTGCAGAGCGAAGCGAAGAGCAAACTGAACAAGCGTGGACGGCGACAAGCTGCTCTCTCTCCCCATGCCTGTGCACGCACTCCTATCAGCATCATCATCGCCATCCTCATCCTCATCCTCATCCGCATCAGCAGCATCACTAGCATCATCATCATGAGCATCATCATCGTCATCGTCATCGTCATCATCATCATCATCATCACCATCATCATCATCAGCAGCATCATCATCGTCAGCATCATCAGCAGCCGCCGCTTCCTCCTCCTGCCCCGTCCCTCGTCCCACCCCCTTCTCCCTACTCTTCCTCCTCGTGCTCAGCCTACCCCTCTTGGGGCACGACGTCTTATCCAGCCCTCAATTCCACTGCTAGCTCCTCCACATCCCTGATCATGGCAACTCGGCTGAACATCGTTGCTGGACGGTCTGGTGGGTATACGCGACGCGTCTACAATGAGAGTGTGAGTGTGAGGGTGTGACTGTGAGCGTGAGCGTGCGCGTGCGTGCGCGTGCGTGCGCGTGCGTGTGCGTGTGCGTGTGTTTGTTTGTGACACAGTGTCAGGGGTGGGGAATGCGCGTGTTGTGTGTGACTGTGTGTGTTGGGTATGCTCAGGTCCTGCTCCTCCTCCGACTGGCTCTCCCGCGAGCCACGCTGCCAAGAGCAAAAACAAAAAAAATACACACACGAGATGGGTGAACTATGCACAAGTGCCAGTCTGGCCGGCAGCCAAAAGGAGGAAGCACGCTGCGTCCACAGAATCCTCCTCCTCCTCCTCCTTTTCCTGTTCCTCCTCGTCCTCCTCCTCCTCCTCCTCCTCCTCCTCCTCCTCCTCCTCCTCCTCCCCCGCGCCCCCCTCCTCTCGTCAGCCCGAAATCATACCAACATGATGTCGCCGAGATCCGCGCGGATGTCTTGGATCTGCACTGTGCCCTCCTGGCGGCGCCTCAGGGCCGCCCCTGGCGCGCTCCACGCGCCAGGAAGGGAATTACAGCAACGATCCAAGAAATCAACGCGGACCTCGGAGATATATTTTGTCCATGCAGAGGTTATCGACGCAGGCATGCCTGTGGGAGTCCTCGGCCAACCCATAAATAATAAAGCAACTACTCCCCCCTGCATTGCCCCTACACTCGTCCACCTATCCGCATGGTTTCTTTTGATATCCGCATGGTATCGTGGAAACTGTTCGAGTGCTCCCTTTTTCGAGTTCTCGAGTTTTACGAGTTTCCCACCTCCCCGGGACCCCAAACCAAGAATTTGACCCCCCCGCCACGGACGACCCCCCCCCCCAACTCGCTATGGGGGGATAGAGGGCTCCCCGGCGACCAGAGAAAACTCCAAAACGCACCCAAGGCGCTCCAAGAACGCCCCGAATTGCGAAAACCGCTTCAACCGCCCAAAACGGCCCCCACGCGGCCTGCGGTGCTCCCAGGGCGCTTCACAAAGCCTCCAAGAAACCTCCCAAGAAGGCTCCGAAAACCAAACATCGTCCAATTCCCATTGGGAAACGCACAATTTCAGTACACATTCGTCTTCGGCCCCCGCGGCGTTGAAAACGGGACCCTCAGAAGGGCCCACCACGGGAGCCAAAACCGATCAATTCGAGTTCACCCAAACGATGCACCCACGAAACCTCCACAGGCCCCCAACAAGCCCCCAAGACGCGCAACAAGGGCCCAGAACACGCCCGACGAGGTTTCGAAACTGTTTTCACGAGGCCCCCGACACGTTTCGTGAAACAGTCTTCGGAAAGTGGTGGGGAAAAGAGCCCCGTGAAGGGGGAATCCGGGAAGCGGCCGGGAAGATAGCCCGAAACAACTTTCATGAAGGCCCTGACCCACAACCCAAAGACGGTGGCGGGGCAGGCCGAAAACCATCCGATATTTCACGGCATGGAAGGCACCAGCGAACATTGTCTTCCTCCTCCTCCTCCTCCTGATCCTCCCTCACGTTCGTCCTCCACCTGCACCCCCTCTTCCCCTTCGTCGTCCTCCTCCTCCTCCTCCCCCTCCTCCTCATCATAGCCCTGCTGCGCTCGAGCGAGCGTTGCATTGACGTCCTTCAGGAGGGCCCGCGTTCCTGCGAGCAGAAATCTTCGGGTTCCCCCCACAGCTTTCTTTCACAACGACCTTGGAGCCATGGCACCATGGCATGCGGATCGATTTGTGCGGCAGCAGCAGCATCTCCTCCATCTGCGCCAGCATCCTGGCGGTGGTGGTGTGGCTGGCGCTTCACCTCTTCCTTCGGCTGGTGCAGCAGGGGGAGGCAAGTGGACGTGCTCGCATTCTGGCTGCAAAAAGAACAAGTCGGGCCGGATCCAGTGTAAGAATTGTCTCCAGCCGCGTCATGCACCGCGCTTTTCCACGCCGCCCTCTGCTGGAGGCGCTTGGAGCGCCAAGCCGCCGCCTGGCCAGTGGGCCTGGCAGGGCGACGCGTTTCCGCCTCAGGCTGATGGCGGCATGCATCCTCTTCGTCCAGACCCTATCTACCCTCTTCCTGGTGGTGGAGCGGCGCCTAGTGGTGGAGGAGGCAATGGGCCCATCCTAGTGGCCGACCCCAAGGACGAGTTGTCTCAGCTCAAGGCCTTGGTCGCCCAGTTGCGCGCGGTTGGCGACACCGAGGGGGCCTCGAGGTACCAGGCCAAGGTTGACGCCAAGCAGGCCGCCCTCGCGGCCTGCTCCCAGGACCCGCCGCTGCAGCAGCAGGTCAACCGCGCCTTCCACAGCATGCGGACCATCGAGAGCCGCTTGGGCAAGGCGGTCACTGTATATGAGACGGCGGAGCAGCAACGAAGATCGTGTATCCACGTTGTCGTCGGAGCTCGACGCGGCTGGATTGTCGCACAAGGCGCTCGTGCAGAAACTCCACGCCCATGTCGAAGGAGATCTTCCTGATTCTGCGCCCTGTCCCGAGGCAGGCATCTCCATCGACGACATCTTGGCTGGCAAAGAGGTCCCGATCAAATTCGAGTCCCGTTATCCAGCTCAAGGCCACGATTACAAGTTGTCGCCTGAGGAAGTTAAGAAGAACGACAAGAGGGCTGCTGCATTACAGGACGGTCTGCGTACGGCTGTCACGGACATGTCACGGACCTGTTCCGTGAGGAGCAGCGCCAGGCGCAGTTGCGGCTCACGGACAAGAAGCGGAAGACTGGAGAAGCTGCTGCAGCTGCTGCCCCTGGAGGAGAGCAAGCCCCTGCAGATGGCCGCTTCAAACCTCCTGATGCAGCGCCTGCTGAAGGCGGAGCTCGCGAGGCTGGGCCGGCTTCGGGGGCGACTGCATCTCCGACAGGGACTTCCACGGCGGCGAGTTCGGCGGCTGCTCCTGCCACTGACTCCCGCGAGCGGGCAGAGGCTATTTTGCAGCAGCCTGCCCCCCCTGCCACTGAGTCATGACTTTGGCAGGGGGGTAGTTTCTTCTTTTGATGGCAGCTCGATCGATTCAGCTGCCAACCCTTATAACTCTTCGTCGCACCATCCCGGTTCGGCCCAGGGCCCCGTGGCGGGACCCTTTCTCCCTGGAGGCACGACGCTGGGAACGTATATGAGCCCAGCGGAGTGCCCCAGGTGTCGCCACTCTTTGCTCGTCGAGGCTCAGGAGTGTCTTTGGTCAGGACGGGGGAGGCATGGCCTCCTCTCTTGGGGTCGAGCTGTATGCATGCCTGGGGGGAGAGTTGGCCGTGGGGGGCACCTTTCTACTCCTCATCATCGGCTCCGTCTCTTCCTGTCCCGGCTCACCCCCATCTGACGCTATCCAAGTTTGCTCTCCAGGGGCCCTTTTTTCGGGCGTTCCGTCATACTTTGTCCAGGGCTAAGGGGGCCCTGCGGCGTAGTCATGGCCCATGCAGCCCCTAACGCCCCTGAGAGCTCCTGCTGCCCCGTCGTCTGAAGAAGGGGACAGTTCTCGGGACAGCAACCCGTGTCTCACAGAGCCCGTCAGTCTGTCGAGCTTTCCTGTTGATGCTTTCTGTCCGATCTTCGAGACCTGCAACGTTTCAGGGTTGGGGCCTGGCCAGCCCTGGCTGGAGAGAACCTCAGCACACGTGGCGTGCTTGCAGGAGCACAAGCAGCTCCCATGCCAGCTCGCTTCGGCGTCCAGTTGGTGTACGAAGCACGGCTGGAAGTCTTTGTGGAGTCCTGCAGTCGAAGGCCCTGATGAAGGCCCCTCTGGGGGCGTGGCAGTGCTGGTGCGTAACGAGCTCGGCTTACGTGCACCTTCCTCTGGACATGAGCTGGTTCTGGCTCAGGCTTTTGCAAGCGTCGTCGAACTTCCTCGATCGTGCCCGAAAAGATCGTCGTGGTCTCCTCCTACTTCCACGATTGCGAGGACCTGTCGGACAGAAATGTGTCCCTTCTTGCTCAATCCTGTTCTTTGGGCGGGGCCTTGAGGATTGCCGTTTCTGGTGGGGGCCGACTTTAATATGGAGCCTAATGTTGTGCTCGATTTGGGTTTCCTGGACTTTACTAAAAAACACTGCTCTGGCCACGGGTGAGCACACTTGTCGATCCCCCTCGGGTCTTAAACAATTCGATTCTGGGAGGCCTGGAAATGGGCACCAACACCAAGACAGAGGGCTGCCTCCACAGGGGGGAGGTGATCCTAGATTTCGGTGTTGGTGGTAATATTTCGGCCACCTTGGAAGCCAGAATATTACCACCATCACCGAGATCGGGATCTTCTTCCCTCGGTGAAGGAACACCGCCGATCTTGGTGTTGGTGTCAACCTCTAGGCCTGCGAGACTACTTTTTAGCCAGCCACGGTCTGGCGAAGGGGGTTGCTAAGCTGGAGGCGATTCGAACTGCTAATTTGACGCCTCACTGCCCTGTTCGAGCCACCCTGCATCCGCAAGTGGGGAGGCTTTCATATCTGGCTTTTCGGAACCCTCCTCCGCTGCCAGTGTCGCCTTTACCACCGGTTTGCTCTTTTGTCCCCGCTCCCGTGTCCAAGCATCTTCCTGGGGTCCTGAATGCGTGTAACGGGGCCCTTGGTAAGCTCGATTTCGGGGGCGCTCAGGCTAAACTCGATAAGCCTTACAAGTTGTGGGCTAATGTTGCCGAGAAGAAGGTTGGGGTGGCCTCAGGTACCCAGCTCCCTTACTGGGGAGCGAGAGGCAAAACGCCTTAGGTGTGCTGGAAACCAATTCTCCCTCAGGATGTTGCCCCTCCGTGTACCGAGCTTTTTGCGGGTAAGTTGCTCGGTAACCTGTTCGGAGACTTTTTGGGACACTTGGAGGCTTCCAGCGAGGCTGGCATCCGCAAGGTTCTTGGGCTGATCCAGCAGCCTCCTCCTCAGGTGATCTCCGCCTTAGGGCCTTTGACTAAGTTTTTCGAGAAGCTCACTGCTCTTATTGCCGACTTGCCGTCGTACGGGGAAGCCGTCGACCAAGGCAGACAAAAAATGCCTTCACAATGTTCCGGGGAACGCCCTCCGGAACATTCTGAGCACAACGACCTCCCCTCCCTTCTTCCTCCACCCCCTCTTCCTCCCCCTTCCTCCTACCCTTTTCCTCCTCCCCGGGGTCTCGATGTGGGCCAGACCCTGAGCGAGAGCAAGAGTACGAGAATGGGTCACCTGCGGCGGGGAAGGAGGAGGAGCAATCGGGGCTCAAGACAGGGGGGTCAATGCAAACGGGGGTCAGTCAGAGCGCCGGATCCATCCTGCAGAGCAGGGTTGCACTGACCCGGGCCTGCCTGCGGGATCTTGCAAGGTCTTGTTGGATTTTGTAGGATCCTGCTAAGCCCGACTGGCCCAGCTTCGCATTGATCCGGGTCAGTAGAGCCCCGAAGCAGGAGAAGCATGGCTGAGAGGTGGACGAGGAGAAGGAGGAGGAGGAAGAGAACAGGAGAACAGACGGGTGAGGAGGGCCGTGAACCCATCCCCCCCCCTCTCCCTCCCCCAACATTTTCCAAAACCTGCTTCGTTCTCCCACCTCCTGCTCTCTTCCTCCCCCCATTCCTCATCCTCCTCCTCTTCCTCATGGTCCACACGCCACTCGTGGAGAGAATGGGCGTGAGGAGGAGGAGGAGGTTGTGGAGGAGCCCGCAGCAGGTCACCTTTTTTGGGTTTGCTATGATTGCGGCTCCAGCACGGAGTCAGGGCGAACTCTCAAAGTTCACAGGGGGAACAACCAAAAAACGTGGGACCAGCCTGAGCTTTGGGCCACGGGTTCGGCATGCCTTGAATGTCTTACGCAGTTCCACTCCTACAATTGGTTAAACAACCATTACCGACGCACCCCATACGTGCTGCATGGCTTGGATTACCACTGGCCGAAGAGGAACCCCTAACAAGCTCATCGAGGTCCAAAAACCCAATGTCAATGGACGCAAGTTCAGAGGGAAACCAGACCTAAAGGAGATCACGACAGCAAAGTGGATTTTGCAACCCTGTGCGTATACGGTCCCACCAGTTTTTAAGACGATGGGCAGCGCACGCCACCGCCGCAAGACATACGCCCTGCCACCGTCACGATCAAAAGGACCACTGCACCGAGCGTTGCCGTGGAAAAGACATACGTTCGCGTGCGACACGCTTACCTCAATGAAGGACAGCAATAAATGTTCGTGCACCTTCTCCCTGGGCACCGCAGACCCCAGGACCTACCTGCAGGACTTTCTCGGTCAGGATCTCGACAGCAAAGGGCTGAGGGTCACCGTTTTCTTGCTTGATCTCGCCAACGACGAACGGTGGAGAGACCTCGGATCGCCAAAGGCTGTCGAGTGATGGAAAGGGGTGTACTCAAGCACGGACACATTTGTGGGATTATGACGGGCCCAACGTGCGAAACACGGTCCGCTGCGAAGCTCAACGCCATCCAAATTGTCAAGAATTCCCCCGACCCGTCAAGAAGCGCGAGGAACCCGCGACCCACCCCGCGCCCGCCCCTTCACTCCCATCCTCAACGGCGGGGTGCTGAAAGAGAATGGGGTGACGGAGGAAGAGGACGATTACGTGGACGAGGGAGCCTGGAGGGCGAAGGAGGAGGAGGAGGAGGAGAGGATAACGATCACGAGGAGGGGGCAGGAGTTGTGTAAAGGAACAGGGAGGGTGCAGGAGGAGGAGGAGGAGGAGGAGGAGGAGGGGAGCGGGGATGTCTCAGCTGGGCAGCCACCAGGGAAGGCGCGGTTGACCGACGGCTCGGGCTCGGCAGCAGGTCGACGACGGCTAGTCGTCGAGAGCCTGATGGATGCGGATGCCGAGGAGCAGCGCTGGCAGCTCTCGCCTGACATCGACGGAGGCAAGAGGGCCTGCGGGAACGTAGGCCTCTATTCCAGCACGGGATGTGGAGTTGAAGGACCCCCTCACACTGAGGCTGGAACGGAGCGCATGCAGCGTCGTGGGTAGCATCGGGACGGCGTTCGGGAAAGCTCTGAGTACATGCAGGCCGCGCCAATCTGAGCGCCCGTCCAGCAAGTGATACAATACGAGAAGCTGCCGCAACAGCAGTGTGAAGTGCAGCTTGACAACAGATCGCAGTGCAAACTGCAGCTGGACAACACATAGGATGACACCAAGCGGTTCCGGCAGATCATCAAGTCGGACATCTTCCAGCCGGCCGAGGCCTAGGACCTCAACTGTGTGGATGAGATGCTGGTAGACATCAGGCAGCGGCTTGAATCCACGCAGCAGACGCATGGGCATTGAATCAACAGGTCCAATGACGCGCGAAAACCTATGTTGCGAGTTTGGAGAAAGAGATCCACCGGCTTCCGGCAGGATGTCGATTAAGAACCCCAACGACGCCTGCAAGAGCAGTGATTCCGCGCAACGAGAGCACGAGAAAAAGAACGATCGCGTTGACAATAATGCCTTTTCATGGTGAAGAAATCCACGTGCATCGAATGCCTGCTTGAGTACCCGTGCGACGGTGCGCCGTAACTACGAAGTCGGCGACGCCCCCAGGAAGAATTTCAAAAGTCTGTACACGCCTACCATTGAAAAGCATGAACACAGTCCTGCGACGCTTGTCGCACTTGGCGCCCTCGACGCCAGCTGGAGCCGACCTCGCCCGCGACGCTTCCTCCTGCGTGTCAATCGCAGCAATCGTTGCAGCGGTCGATGCAATGCGCGCGTACTCCAACGCCACTGGGGCACACTCGGTCCGCGCCTTCTTAGTTGTACTCATCTCAAACAACAAGTTCAAGGTGATGGCATCGCGTGTCAAGTGCTGGTCACCATGCACGCAATCAACTGCTGGGAGCTCCACCGAAACGGATTCTGGTAATCCCACCAGGCCTGTAGGGCGTATAGCCA